ACCGCATGGAGCGATGAGGGCTACCGCCGGCAGTATGGGGGCCTAATACGTATGAGGGGATGAGTGTGGTAGAGCGATGGGACGGCGGGAGCCGCGGTTACCACCGATGTCGATCGCGGCAGTAGGGTGCCCAGGGTCCGCGACAGACTGTATGCTCGGGCTGTTTCGCTTACTCGTACAAGCCCAATTTGCACATATCCGTTGTACCTGTCAGTGTAACGCTAAAACTTGCTCATTCATCGAAATTTGCTATTCCATTGAAAATGTAGGCAGAAAAGCTGGTTGGATTCACTTGTCCTTTTATTGTGCGTATACCTAGATATTAACGAAAATAGTTCTCGAAACACTTCACAATGGAGACGTTATGGAAATAGACACTTTACGCATTTATTTAACCTAAACCAATCGTTATTGCTTCATGTCTACATCTCTTGATTTTTAATGTTATTTCGTAGCAGCGGCAACTTTTGCTAGCTCTTCGGGCGTCATATCTGGGCATGACTCATATCCAACGTCATCAGGTGGCTGAAATGATTCTTCATCAGAAGGTATTTATAATCCAGTCGACCTTTACAGAGCGACTTCTTTAAGTTGATTTCGTAATAAGCACACTCTCTCCTGTGTATGACGAGTCCACAGGAACGGCAGACGGGCAGGAGGATCGTAATTTGCCGCTCCGCCGGCGATGGCTGGGCGAGTTCTTAACTCGTGTTAACTGTCGATTGGAGCACCGGATTTCATGTAGACCCCGTCATCGTAGCATGACTACTTTCGGTTCTGAATTGCCTGTTGTCGCCATCTACTACCTGGAACCATCGTCATTTGGGGGGGGGGTGGAGGAGGTTCGTCCACGCGACGCCCAGCGGCGCGGTGAATTATGATTCTCTTGTCACGTACCCCACAGGCACAGCTTAAATCAGGATGCATCATCGTTGGGTATTTCCCAAGAGACATGTAGGTCGTATTTCGTCGCTGGGGGAGGGAGAGTCGTATTTGGTCTGGGAAAGTTTTTTTTGAAAGTTGATTTTTGTTGTTGCTCGGACGCTGAAGGGGAGGAGGTTGTAGTCGGTCTCTGTTGGGAGAAGAGGGGTCGTATTTGTCTTCTGTTTTTTGAGAAAAGTTTTCGACGTTTTGAGGTTTCTCGTGTTTCATGTGTACTATAGAGGCCCGTCGCATGGGGACCGCTGACGGTGCATTCATACCGATTGGGCTTGGTTTATAGGGTAGTTCGCTGCGGACGGTTGGCGTGTCAGGCGGGATGAGTTGGCGCGGTGCCAAACCCGTTCTCCACCAGTTGTTAAAGCGAGCAAATGATATGACTATCATATCGTTCGTATTACTCGTTTTCTACCACTTTTTGTCGCATGCGCGCTTCAACAAGAAGGCAGAGAACGGCTTTGACGGGTGACACACTCATACTGCCTGACACGCCCAACCGTCCGCAGCGAACTAGAGTGTACCTTCTTTTTTAGATACTGTTCCCTTCCGAATTTCCCCTCTAACGA